AAGTAAAGATAATACTGAGTTTGCAGAAAGTAATTTTAAGCATTCCCCTCTGCCTATTTTTCTCAGTGTGGCTGTATGAGGATATGAAGAAAATATTTGAGGGATACATTTCTGTCTCTCTCTAGGTGTCTGTTACTTCATTGTCTAATGTTCCATTAATATGTTTTAATTATAACTTGTTTTAAATATACAAAAATGGTGCAGTAGTCAACCATAGGAATAACATAAATGTCACAGACCTGTCAGCAGCTAACCTCCAGAGCCCCATGGTTTTCCGCACTGTGTTGCCACTTGCCCAAGGGAACAGACTGAGGTTGCCCTGAGATAGCTCTGTGCCCCGGCAAGCCTTGGGTCCCCTGGACCTTGTAGGTAGATTCTTCTCCCGCCCCTTCTCCCAACACACACTTTGGGGGGGGGATTAGGAAGAAATGTTAAGGTTGGTAGAGAGCTTCTCCAGAGTATCACTTGCCCAGAAATCATTCTGTCCAAAGGCAATCAGTAAGAAAACAAGCAGCCAGAGGATTTATTATAGAGGACAGTTTCTGGCTTCTGTAGCCAGGATTTGTTCTCTAATGTTCCTCTGGCTTGATGCCTCTCATGCCTTTGCTATAGAGTAGCAGATTTCCCCATTACAGGTAAACAATGCCTTTGGATTCTGAACTCAAATAATTTCTCCTTCTGCTTTATGTCTGGGAGGGGAAATTGTCTTTAAGTATGCATGCATGGGTCCCCTGGCTGAACCATATCCAAAATTATAAAGATATGCATAAACAGCATAACAGAATCTGTACAGGGGTAACAGTAAGATAAAAGAATACAACATAATATTGGCTTTCCAACAAGAGCACACATGCAATATCAGCACAGCAAAATACCAGAAAACATTTGTGACAGGCTGCAACCCTCCAAAACTTAACAGGATTCATGACTCCATGTTTCTCCTCTTGGTACTGCCAAGCCCTCATTGCTAGAGGCTTAATGATGCTTTAGAAGAGCTCGCGGTCCAGCCTCTGAAATGTATCCGCTTACACCAAAATGCATGTACTTGAAGAAATATTCCTGAGGGAAACCGACTTGATTCTTCTTCAAAAGCTTGAGAAACATAGGACTGGAAGGGGTCTCCTGGTCTGTCAAGTCCAGTCCTCTGCATTCATAGACAGTTTTAAACCAAATGAATCCTCATGACACAATACATAAAACCCTATAACACCATAAAACCTGCCATTGGTAAGAGCACATCTTTTTGTTTGCTCTTGCATGGATAACCTTGCATTCTTCTTGCTCCTGAAAACCATAGCACTAATGAGAGCACTGAGGCCATGAGCACCCTGGTGTTTTTATATTTTTCCAAAACCCTGATAAGTGAGGACCTGGGAGTATTTTGGTAGAGTGACAGGGTATAGTGATGGGATGGCATACCAAAACTGGGAGGGTAAGAGAAGGGAATGGGGAGAATGAGAAAGAGGTAAAAAGAAGGTGAAGGGTAAAGGAATTGAAACTGGAAGGGTATACAGGTATATGAATGTGAGGAGATAGGTTTTATTGAAGAGAGATTTAAATCTGTAAGGTTAGATGAAGGTGACAGAGAAGTGGTTTCTTTAAATGGACCTTTGGAGGTAAGATCGAAACACATAGAAACTGGCTTTCCCATCCGTAATAATGTATTAGGGTTTATTGTACAAAGGAAGTGAGTGCTCTGTTTTGCAAAGGATTGGGAAATTTAACAGATTTATGTTAAACAATGGAACTGAGGCTACAATACACAATAACTCATAATAAAAAAAATAGATATTTTAAAGCATCTGGAGATAATGGAAATTATAAGAATAAATGGATAATACCTGATTCCTCAAACAGAAACAAATACTATGATATCTATCATTCTTCAACAGCTGTTTATAAAAGTAATAAAAGCTTTTGGAGCTGATAAAGCAAACAGTCTAATGGTTGAATGACATTTATCTTTCTTAGAAAATGTTTAACTTGAGAGATAGCATAAAGTGGTTATCTCTTTAGGCAGTCAATAAATCAGTTTCAAACGTGTTTTAAGTTAGTAAATCAGTTTCCAACAAAAGTGGCCTAATAAATTATATACGTTAATTTAGTTTAATATTTTTTCTCTAAAACATCACAAATAATACTCCAACAACATAAATTCAGTTTTAGTGGCTGTTTTCAGTGTACTTATAAATGGAAGCATACTTTTATGCATTTGTGTAATATAATGAAAAAGCATGTGTAATTTTGTATGGAATGTAAACTAGGATTTGGACTTTTCTAGTAGTATATTAATTTTATTATTTTAGAAGAAAATTTGTGCAATTAATTTGCATATTTTCACATTTTTTTTTTTTACAAAAGAAAAAGAACAAGTACTGTAATTTAAAATCATATTTCATACATATTCCCAGATAATCAGTTGCATTAAGCCTTTCTGGCTGTTGTGAAGCCAGTTACTTTTATTCAGCTTCTCTTGGGGTCAGGTCCCTATATTCTGAAGTGTATACATTTACTTGGAATGAGGACCTAAAAGAACTTAAATATTTATACAAGATAAACCATGATGTTGATGAGGATAATGTATATTTTTATGTTAGAAAAAACAACAATAATAGAAAAGATCCAAATGTCTTAATTTTCAAAAATGATTATTGATTTTTGGTTACCTGAACATTTTTTGAAAAAAATCAGCTAGATTAAAGTAGCATATTGAAAATCAGGTTTGAATGCATTAAAACATCTGATTTAAATGACTTGTATCCAGAATTGTTGCTCAGTTGCAGTGCTTTTCTTTGCATGCTGTTCTGTTTCCAAGGTTTGCAGTCTGTCCTTAGATTTTTAGCTGTTCAAGGCAAGATACCTGATTTTGTGCCTTCTCGTAAAGTTCCAGTCATGTTCTTGGCAATACAGATACAAGATACTAAAATAAGCAGTTTGCTGGGGTGGGATCCTTTTTATAAAACCTGCTGGTGGTGGTGGGTTTTTTTTTCTTTTTTCTTTTAAAAAGCTTTTAAAATATCTTTACATGAATGTATGCCACGAATCTGTGTGGCTGTGTAGGTGCCATCTTCTGACTGAATGTCCCATCCAGAATATTCATTTTGAGTTTTAACGGTAGGCATCATGCTGCTGAAGAGTTGCAGTAGCTAAAAGAAAAGAGTTCAGCCATATAGGTAACCAAAAGGTTTTGGGTCTGACTTTGACTCCAGATAGTTAAATCCCAAAAATCAAGAGTGCCAGGGTCTGCCCTTGCATATCTAGTCAGAGGATCTGGCTCCTTCAAGTATGATCAAAATGCAGAGAGAATCAAAGAGGTGCGTCCATCATGAAGCCTTCAGTAGGCCAATGTACAACATTTTTTTTGCCAAATTATGATGGCGTCTTCTACCTCAGTCAGGCTTAGCAGAGGTACTCAAGCTGATGTCCCTTGAGCAAGACAGGAGAACATTTTTGTCGAAAGGTCTAGAGTTTTGGAACATTTGCCCCAAGCTGTTCTGCCAGAACTCATATTTGTTAATTGGGTTTTCTTCTTCAGTTCAAATCCTACTCAGTTCTTTACTAACTTGGTGAATTAACTAAGTCACTTGTGTAAGAGCCAGCTCATTTTCTAGCTGATTCATGTGCAGATTCCAGTTTTGTCTCATTGTTACTTTGTTCACCCTGTCTTTCCATATCTCCCACTGGTCTTTTCTGTTTTACTTAGACTGTATGTTCTTTGGGCAGGGGAGTGAGATCTTGTTCTCTGTACAGTGCCGAACACAGTGGTTTACTTGTTTATGGCTGTGACTTGTAGATGTCCGGTAGTGCAAAAGCAATAGTACAGAACAAATGGCTTCTTAGGTATAGGGTAGCAGAAAGGTAAAGCGAATGATTATCCGGGGGTGGATGGGGGAGGGGATTGCTGCATTGTAATAACTGGTTTCCCCTTGTTGGATATTTTTTTTTTCAGGTTCAGTTGGAGACAAATATTTCAAGTCAGTATGTAATTCGTACCCAGCCGACAAACAGATGCCTTTCTACACTTGAATGTGCAGCTACTGCCCTTGCCATCATGGAAAAAAATGAAGCTATTCAGGAGGTATGTAGGTAATTAATTTTAACAAAACCAGCTATTAAGCGGAGCAATAGGGGGAAGGTTAAGTATGTTAAATGATAGTACCATATTTATTGACTGAGGGTTCCCCAGAACCCAGGGACATAGCTCAGTTCTTTCACATATACCTGAATAAGATCATGAGATCCTGCTATTTCACCTCAGGGACTTAAAGGTAGTAAACAGCTGTGTACTGAAATAATGTTCTGTTTCTTCTTTACAAACTGTACCTAGAGAGTACTAACAGAAAACTTTTTTTTCAGGCACTTGTTAACTCTCTAATTTTATCAAAATCCATTATAGGGATCATTTACAGAATTCCCAAAGGCTCCATTCTCTCCTTCATAATACTCAATATCTTTGTCAAACTGCTGAGGGAGCTTGTAAGACACCACAGTTTTAAGTGCTAGCAGTTTGCCTGTGGCATTACATTATTTTCTAGTTATGTCAATAGTTGAATTAGATTAGCTCTTTCATGATAAGAAGTTGGCTAAGATAAATTTGGACATGAGTTTTGGATGGTAGCAACAAGCAGAAGGGAATCAATCCAAAATATTAGTGTCATAACATTTCCTTCAGTACAGGGAAATGCCCTAGCATCATCAAAGTTGGATGAAATCAGAATGTCTTTCTGAATGTTTCTTCTAACTTTTCTTGTATATGTAGTGTACCAGACTGAAGAAATACATGCTTAATTATCAGCACAGCTGTATCCCAGCCTCTTCTCTTTACATGCTCATTCCTTTAGCATCCTTCTCAGTCACTATCTCCCACTTCCCTATTCACTCCCACTTCTGTTCTGGCATGGGCCACGTACAGGCATTACATTTGTGCTGGGAGAGAAGCCTGTTTTCCAGCACAAAGACAGAGGATACAGCTGTTCAAGGGGTTTCTTGCAGAAGAAAAAGGGCGTTTCTGCAAGAAAGTTCTCCCTCTTCAAACCAGGTACATCTCTCCCCGCCCACATTAACTTGAATAGCTGTACAGTATATTCTTATTAGTAGAAATGAGTCCATGGCCAATGTCTGCAACCTTCAGATTCCTGTGTCATATCATGGTATTTGAGTTCCCTCTTCCTGAATTGCAAACCACTCTCTCCCTCCTTAGTCAGCTTCACTTGTTTCTAGCAATTCTTACTCTCCTCACTCACAGTGTCTTTATTCTGTCACGCTCCAGAGCCTGCTTCTTTTCACCATTCCCCTCGTTGGCACTCATGCCACCCTGTCTGTCATACAATCTTTCTTCTTTTCCTTCTAAATGAGATGATAAGAGTAAATCTAAATGTAACTGTCTGTCTGTCCACCCACCAACCCTCACTTGGATTTATTTCCATTTGTAATGGTTTCAGATACCTCTGAGTATTCATAGTTTCATAGATAGTTTCATAGATTTAGGGTCGGA